GGGGGGTGAGTAGGAAGCTGTTCTGAAACTCCTACTTGGGGGAGCCTGACTGTTAGCTGTAAAAAACCAATTTGTGTTGTTTTTTATCTTAAGAGTGAGTTGCTCTCCAAATCACTTCCTTGGAGCAGGTTTGTTCTTTCTTTGCCATGATTCGGGTGTGAGAAGATGGGAGGGGAAGAAAAGAGATGTTTAGAGGGGAATGCTTTGCAGGGTGAGATTTATGCTTTACAGCAGGCACTAGTAGGGGCTGAAGGGCTACATGCACAGGTGGTGATAGACCGTATTGTACCAGTCTGGGAAAATGATTAATCAATACTATAGGGATTTGTTCTTGTATTCAGTTCTTTTAATTTAGCCTTCTGTTTCTCTGCTCAGGAGTTCTGTAAGAGAATGTTCTAAATGTGATGCTGATTCAGGATCCTGGTGATATTAAGAGAAATCAAACCAGTTCCCTAACTGCTTTAAAGCTGGATCTTGTTGCAAATGGCAGTGAAGAGAACAAATGTTCTATCCATGTTCCTAATTGCAAGTTGCATAAATATGTCTCGGATTTTAACAGAGGCAACTTGGGGAAGTAATACTGAGGAACAGTGAATGATAAGTGAGCAAGATGCTTAATGCATGTTTCTCATAGTCCTGTTGCACTTGCTTGGCAACCTTCATTCTGATACTTCCCAAGTTTTGAGAGCTTGGCTTTCTGACCTTAATCTCTTAGAAAGAAGCCTGTAACTTCATTGATCTTCTTTTCAGCAGAATTAGAAAGACAAAAAAAAAATAACCTGAAGTGGCATTATTTATGCCAGTGTAATTAATTAATAGAGTTTGGAACTTCTGTGTTCCTGAAGTAGACCATTGCTTCATGAGGTACCGGAGAATGTTGTTGTCCATTATGTAGGATCAATGCTGGAGGAAGGAAATGTCCTCCAGTGAGCACAATGCTCCTTCTCTTTTTCTCTTCATCTCTTAACGTTAGTCACTTTTCCACTGCTTGACTTTTCTTCCTTGTCCTGTTCTGTCCTCTCGCCCAGGTCTAGATTTTACTACCCTGGTTTCTTTTAATACTTACTTCATTGAGGTTTTCTGCCTAAGCTAGAACCTCTTGCCTCTCTGTGCTCAGTTTAACGCTTCTCTTCGGTGGTCCCTTCCCCCTGGTGCTCCTTGTCCAAAATGAGCTGTCTTTTCACCTAATTGCTGCATGAAAGCTTTCTATTCAGGATGTGCTTCCATTGCCTCCCCAACTGTTTCAACCAGTTCTCCCCTACCTGGTAGCTCATCATATCCTTGTTTCGGGCCCTCTGCCTTGTTTAGTTCTTCAGTCTTCTCTCCATCCTGCTTGGTTGTTTCCCACCAACCTGCTGATGGCGATCCCCTCTCCCTGTATACACATGCTTTTCCTGGTCAGTTCTTAAATTTGTCATACATGGAATCACTAAGGTTGGAAAAGGCCTTTAAGATCATCAAGTCCAACTATCAGCCCAACACCACCATGCCCACTAAACCATATCCTGAAGTGCCACGTCTACACATTTTTTGAATACTTCCAGTGATGGTGACTCCACCACCTCTCTGGGCAGCCTGTTCCAATGCTTGACCACTCGCTCAGTAAAGAAAATTTTCCTAATAGCCAGTCTAAGCCTCCCCTGGTGCAACTTGAGGCCATTTCCTCTTGTCCTATCAGTAGTTACTTGGGAGGAGACACCAACATGCACCTCACCCCAAACCCCTTTCAGGTAGTTGTAGAGAGCGATAAGGTCTCCCCTCAGCCTCCTCTTCTCCAGACCGAACAACCCCAGTTCCCTCAGCCGCTCCTCATAAGATTTGTTCTCCAGACCCCTCACCAGCTTCGTTGCCCTTCTTTGGACACGCTCGAGCACCTCATCGTTCTTCTTGTAGTGAGGGGCCAAAAACTGAACACAGGATTCAAGCTGCGGCCTCACCAGTGCCAAGTACAGGGGTACGATCACTTCCCTATGCTTCTTCCTTCATGCTTCTCTCCTTCCAATTTCTCCTTCATGCCCAACCACTTTCCTGGCTCTCTTCATTCCCCTTCCTTCTCCCCGACCCTGCCAGTCTGTCTGTCACCCTTTCAGTATTTGAATTTCTTCTTCCACTGTGGATATCGGTGGTGAAGTAACCAAGGTTGCTGGAAAGGTAGAACTGAAGTGTCTGGGGGGGCTCTACCTCAGTCCGGCAGGAGCTGTACTTACAGGACAAGTAGCCTTGAGCTGAAGAACACTTGCTTGCTCCATTGAAATGGCTTATGATTGGACCTGATGTCTGTAGGAGGTTGGAGCACACCTCTGAAATACTTAGATTTTAGTAAAATTTTAAAAAATATTTACTCTGTATTTGTAAATATATATGTTGCAGGCAGGGAGAACTTGTCACCTGACACATTCTTTTAGGGATCCTTGCAGAATGATGATGGCACTGAATTGTAGTTACAATTAAAACTTTATTTTTTTAACATGATATTATGATTAGTATAGCACATAATTTATGATTAGAATGGCACAGGATTTCTACAAGCAGAATCGGTATAGTACGATTTATAAGTAGCGTAGTACAGAATTTATAATACAACTTGACTTACAATTTCTAATCACCAGGACCCTCTGCAGATCGGGGCAAATCTTAATACATGATTTGCCGTATCAATATAACAGTTGTGATCTAGACTCTAAATTCATACAAAAAACTATGAGTCAATCCTGGGAGGAAGCAGAGGAGCGTGGTGGCATCCCTGGCCATGGTGGGCCCCGGGTCTCACTGTCCAGCAGCAGCTCTGCTCCAAGCTCCCCCCTATAGGACTTAAAACTGTTTGATCTTACAGACAGTGCTCTGGGTGCTGTGATGCTTCCCCATTCTGTGAGGAGGCCATCACCACCACTTGGTAGTCCCGGCTGCCTGGGGCCTTCAAGGCGGGCAAGGGAGGGAGTAATTAGTCCTGGCTGCCTGGGGCCTTCAAGGCGGGCAAGGGAGGGAGTAATCAGCCTGGTGCCCAGGAACCTCGAGGGTGGTAGAGAGGGGAAGAAGAAATCTGTTTGGTTGGTCTAGTTGGTTCGCAAGGACCTTCAGGGCCTGATAATGAGGGGGAAGAGAATGAATATGTGACCTGTGTGGTCATAGAGAATGGCTGCTTGCCTCATAAAATGTCATTAGTTATGCTAACCACATTGCCAGGGGTGGGGAGCAGGGCGTACCGGGCACAGAATGACCCTGTTGGTTTCAGTGTGAAAAACTAACACTAAGAACAGTTGGTTTCGGTGTGAACTGTTAGTCTGGTAGAGACTTAAGCAATAGAGGGCTGAATTTTACAAAGGAAGGTTGTTAGTGATACTGATGACAATAGGTGCTCCCAGGCTCCCTCTTAATAGCAGTGTCATGTATTAGTAACAATTAAGGATGTTTCATGCTGGATGAATGACCTACAAGTGATTGAAAGCCACGGTGTTAACTTTCAGAATGCGAAGAAGTTACTTAGATTAATAAAAAGATTCATTAAGAAGTAATGGAATGCATAAAACAAAGTCACTTAAGGCTGAATATCGAGATTGTAAAGCAGTATGCTATAGGATGTTTTTTCCAAGGAATTAGTAGAAAGTCTTTTTTTAAATGTTTACATTGACCAGATGAAATGCACAAGTATCCTGTAAGAAACAGTTTCTTATTAATGGGAGGAAGATTGTGAAGCAAAATATTCCTTTAATTTCTCTCTTCTGAGAGACCATATGTTTGAGGTCTAGAAATGCAATATGCAGCATAACCTCAAGTGGTGTTCACAAAGATACTTGAAATAGACTGCTACTTTTAACTGTCAGCCTTAAGTAGGACATAGGGCCCCTAAATACCCATGGAAATGTAAGTGCAAGGAGCAAAAACTAGGTTCCAATCTAAAGCCAGTTGAATCTGATTAAGAGACTGCTTTTGGCTACTGAGGACTCTGGCTTAGGCCACTAGCAAACTAGTCTTGAGTATCAAGTGTTCAGATGGAATTTTCTGGTTACTTTGTGAGTTTTTCTTTTGATTCATGTTTGAGGTGCTGTCTGTGATGATAGGAGATGCCACGGTGTGTATACCACGTAAAGTTCACATATTTTCACTATTTAGTTCTAGAAATAATAAGTGGGTAATACTCAACACTTTACCTACACTTAATCACTAGATTATATATTGTTCTTTTTTTATGGCTTGACACTATGCTGTTAAATCACAGGTATACCTAGAAATGATATACTTATTCCTAAGATAGGCCTGCATCTAGAAATAAAGTAGAGGCAAGAAAAATATCTTTACTTTGCATAGTTTGCAGTTCTTTGTTTGACTAAGTTCAGTGTGCTTCTCCATTCTTCCCATCTTGTTAGATATTTAAACTTTTCAAATAGTGAAACAGAAGAAAGGGATATGTTTTTCAAATAGGAGTGTCTGTAGAGTTGCAAATATAGGTTAAAGTGAGAGGTGATGGTCTGCCTGACTCAGATGATTGTTTCATTTTACTTGTTTGCATGCTTATTATCTTCTATTTTAGAAATAGAAAATAAAATGTTTACGTTTTATCATAATGTTTTTTTGAGTGCAGTCCAAGTTATTTCTTTCATTTTAATTCCACTTGGCATGTTGCCCCACTTAATTTTACAGCTTGGCCTGAACTTTTTATAGATGTATGTAGTTATTAGCTGTCTGTATGCTGTGTCTCCACTTCCTTCAAGTTGAGAAGAGTTGGAAAGTCACTTTTTGCAGCTGGGTCAGGATTTCATTCCAAATGTTAATAGAAATGTGGAGCTTGTTCTCTCTTCTAGCTGAGCTAGGTTGCTTATACACTACTCACCAATAACGTTTTCTGCAGTACTAAAAAGATTTTGAAAAACACTTACCTAGCATCCTGTAACGCATCGTGAAAAGTGGGGTTTAGCACTTGAGAGTTAAAATGTTTGCATCGGTTTGAGGGGATACATTTGAACTTGTTTTAATTAATTTTTTTTTTATATTTTAACCTCTAGGTTCCAGCAAGATGTGGAGTGACAGTCCGAGACAGCCTAAAGAAGGCTCTGATGATGAGAGGTCTTATTCCAGAATGCTGTGCTGTTTACAGAATACAAGATGGGTATGGTTTCTGTGGGATGGCTTTTGCTCTTAGAATCTTTTCTTGGAGTTACCCAGAATGGCCAATTCTCTCCAACATTGTGGAAGTTGTTTCCAAAGTTCAGAATGATATGATACTTTGCACTAAAGCAATTTGTGTCTTGAAGACGTGTCTAAAAAGAATGGCGGACTCCTTGAAAAAGATTTAACCACTTAAAGAACAGGCATAAATAGAGTAAAATGAGCTTGTAGGCTGCTGGCAAAACACTCATTAACCAAACTCATGCTACCCAAACAAGTATTAAATAGGTTTCAATAACCTTTTCGTTTTATTGGACTTGGTTATAGTGCATTCTCAATATAGAGTTCCTGTGGGGGAAAAAAATATTGAGCTTCCAGCCTGAAAAACTTTATCTGAAGTAGATTATCTTACTGCACAAAACTAGCCATCTCTTCGGAACTGTTATGGAACAGGTACTTTAACAAGCACTTTATTTGATCAGAAAGGTATCTGGCACCGTGAAACCAGATACAGATACAAGGAATCAGCCAGTACTGGAGCTGCTTGAAAAAGGGCATTTCTTTCATGCAATTTGTCTAGGGAAGGTGTGCTTTCTTTGGTATGTGCTGAGCTTAATGTCTTGCCTTTAAAGTTTCTTGCAGTCAGAGACTGGGTAGCAAACCCCTACAGTGCAACTTTCTACCTGAT